AATTATTTACCAGCTCTTAGTGATTCCATAGGTGCCCGTTGATTAGAGATGCACGTCAATCCTATTGAGTACGCAAAATGTTACAGAGCAGCATATAAGAGGTCATTTCTGACATGGTCCCTTTCTTGTCAGGAATTGCATTTAGACCAGCACAAACTAGGAAGGTAGTTGAAGTATAAGGCATCATCAGAAAGGCTTGCAAAGCATGGCTGATTGAGATTGGTTCCATCCTGCAATGCAAGTTGTGTAATCAAGTACCTAAGAGGTTTCTACTGAGTCAGACCATTGGTCTGTCAAATTCTGACTCATAAGCAGCTCTCCAGGGTCTCAGGTCATGGTCTGGCACAACTCCTGCAACTGGATTGTTTTAAGCAAAGATGCTGGGGATTCAACCTGGGACCTTCTGCATGCAAAGCAGATTATCTGCCACTGAGCCACCGTCCCTCCTCTAATGAAAGACCCATTTTTGCATAGGTAGATTGAAGCCTGTTGTGGCTATCTGCTGGGTGGCACACCCCATACCTGGAGGGAGCGCCTAGGCCTCAAGCTGGAGAGACAGGGGGTTGCTCCACCTTATTCCTCCTCTGGCTGCCATGGTTACTGTCTCCTGATAGCCTGACAGTGCCACTCATGTCCCGATTGGCCTGGTTCTATCTCCCTTTTATCTCCCCACCTCCTTGTGTACCAATTCCCCTCCCCTCCATCCACTGGGAGGCCCTGCCCACTTGGGACATGCCTCTCCTATGCTTGGGCCATTCCCCTTTCCCACCCTTGCCTCTCACCCCACATCACCAATTGGCCCTGCAGTAGTTGAGCCACCCCACCCTCTAGTTACTTGCCCACTGGCTGGGCTTGGTGGCTCATTCTGGCCGAGAAACCTGTCCCTGAGCTTTGTGGCGGGTTTGGCCTGGCCAGCCTGCTGCTTCCAGAAACGTAGCTTTGTGGTCTTCATGCAAGACTGCTGCGTGTTGGGTGGGCTTTCCCCAGCCGGCTGGAGTGACCTCATTGTCTGGCCCTTGGCCTTCTATGATGCTCAAAGGTTGTCTTCCAACACTGCAGGTATTCTTGCTCCAAGAGGTAAGGCTGGCTGGGGCTCCCCTGCCGGACACCTGTCTTGCAGACCCAGAGCCTATGTTAATTGGAAATCAGCCTTTTTTTGTTTCAGAAAGGGTGTTTTTCCCATAAGCAAGATAAAGACATACCATTACGGTTGGATATTGTGATTCTACATGCAAGATGATCTGGGAGGGAAAGGGTTAAGAGAATTCTCTCACTCAGGTACATTTGGCAGCTGGCCCCACCCTCTCATCAGTTAGATGTTAAGCCTCCTTGGCCATTGTTTGCCTTCTGTCTCATCTTATATAAGTCCTCTCTTCTTCTCTGGGCTTGGAGCTGTAGCAAGTTAACCTTTTTGAAGTTAATCTGTTCACAATAAGCTAAATGGGCCTACATGAATATGTCATGTAAGATGTGCTTCTATTTTTGTAAGTAAAATTTCTTTCTCTTCCTACCATTGGAGTCAGGTTATCTTTGTAATTATTTTGAACAGAGTTTTCCCCTTAACTGGGAAATATGGAGGATCAGGGATACTGTGTAAAGGTTCTGTGCTTCCAAGTCAAATGATTTTTTTGACTGGGGTTTCCCCCGATAAGCAAGATAAAGAAATACCATTACTTGCATTCATCCTCAGGAATAATGTTGCATCTTCAAATAGTAAATATGCATAAGGAAGGGGTCCGAACTTCACTGGATTACTGGGTCAAGGGCTTCTGGCTTTTAAAAAGAACTATTATGCCTTGTAAGTTTTAATGTTCATGTGCTTTAATGAGGATTTCTGGACCTTTTATAAAGATCTTACATCCTTTTCAAACAAGAAACAAATCAACAGAATCTGCTCCCAAGTCCTGAAGGAAAGGAGCCCAGCAAAATATATATTGCCAAATGATCTTCTGGGCAATACTTCCTTCCACTTTCTCAGCTGGGTAGGTTGGTCCCAGGGCCACCGAACAGTGACATCTAACAATGAAATGGGTTTCTCAATTAAAAAAAATTAGAAGCCCACAAGTTAAACAACTCCTTTTCATGCTCTTGGTGAGTTCTCTCAGCAGGAGTAGCCACCTGTATCTCTCTTTTCTTCGCAGGCGAGTTTCCCAAACAGGGATTCTGATACAAAGACAAGTACACACTTGCATACCCACAGGACCAAACTACATATTATGTCTGCCATGTGATCACCATGGGTCTCACAGCAGGATGCCAGCTGTGAGTTCCCTGTGGAAACTAAGTTTAGAAGGGTTCTAGGGACCTGATTCTGGCCAGAATCGCAGTATAGGAGGGCTCCTGCCTTCCCCTAGTGCCATATTCCCAACCCAAAATAGCACCAGGGGAGGGGGCATTACTTGTGCCATTCAGAAGCTGCATTCTTCAATGCACAAGCAGCCACCCTGATGGGGCAAATAACTCCCCCAGTTCCTTTTCAGGTTGGGAAAACTGTGAGGGAGAAGGCAGGAGCCCCTTGTGCATACCACTGGTGGATGCCTCTGCCACACAGTTACCACCAGATCTCAAACACTCCTTTGCCAACCTGGCAAGAGGTTGGGCTGGAGTCCTCACAGGCAGAGCACTCTTATTTTAACAAAATCAGGAGTCAAGTTCTTCTTGCTCCTAAACCACGATAGGCTGCCACCAGACCTGCTTCATCCAGGAATGAAAGGCACAGGCTAACCCTGCTTCCTTTAGGACTTTGAGCAGAAATCCAAACCCTCTCCAGAGTCTGGGGTTCCATTCATATAATATTGGTAGGGCCAAAAAGGCAACTAGAAAAAGCCTTCTGCAAACCCCAGACAAAACACACCAAACAGGTATGTAACTAAAGGTTTTATTTATGGTGCAAAATACCAACATACTGTGCAAACAGGAAAAAAAGGGTTTTAATATCTCTAGCTCAGTTACCTTGGATATTACTGCACCAGTTATCCACGCAATTCTTGAAGCACAACCAAAGAGCAAACTGCTTATAACAGTCTCAGGGCAGACCACAAATCTCAATTCCTCCAGCAGAGGTTCAGGGTTTCCCCCCATGGAAAAACAATAGCACCCTGTAGCCTTCCCAGCTAAGGGTCTACAGTTAGGCAAAGAAAACAGGGAAAGACTTCATTTTTAACCACTTCTGGTAATACCTAACCATAAGCAATAATTATCAATTAAACCTAGCAACCAGGTTCACCTAATCCCAATACAGGTCAGGGAATTTGACATATGTAAATGAAATATTTGACACGATGTAATTAAAGGGGAAACTGATTGAGATCCACCTGTTGCATGGGAACCCCAACCAGCCTAAGCTGTCCAAGGCCATTTCAACAGGAAAACAAATCTTCACAGAGTCAGTGCTAGGCAACCAAAAGCTAATAGTCTGCAGGTGGCCTTATCAGCACTTTTCAGGCTCAAGAACACAAAACCAAACACTGCGCTTCTGCAAGGAGCTAGATACAAATGAACAACTAAACACATAAAATAGCCCCCGGTTACTACAACTGGTCTATTAAGTTCTAACTAGTAGAGCAGCTTTCTAGGATCTCAGGGCAAGGTCTTTCATATCACCAGTAATCTGATCAATTTAAGTAGAGGTCAGGGATTGAACCCAGGAGTTTCTATGGTGATCACGTGGGAGATGTAATGTGTGGTTTGGCCCACAGACTCTACCTTTCTCTTGCATAAATGAGATCAGAGAACAAACGAGTAGCTTAAAAGGACACAACTAAGCAGTTATCCTGTCACACAGGATGTGTCCTCTGAGGCCAGTTCCCAGCCCCCAAGGAACCTTTAAGGACATCCCCCCTTAATGCTCAAAGGGTTCCATGGGGGAGGTAATTAGGCCTGGACAACATGCATCTTGTGTGGACGGCGAGCGGTGGAAAAATGGCAACGGAGGACAACATCTTCGAGGGTCCAGACGGTGGTGAAAAAGGCGGAGCCAGGAGGACGCCAGAGCGTGGAGGGTGCAGGCGCGGCGGAGCCTCAATGGACGGAGCCGGAAGCCGCACCAGAAGCGCGCTGAGCGCCAGAGAGGCCCACTGTATCACCACCGGAAAAAGATCACGGACAGAAAGAGGTAGAAGCCAGAAGAAGCCGTGCCGATGAACCGATCCAGAACGTCCCTCCACTGGGTGCTGTTAGGACAGTCCCCACCCCAGCATACATGTGGCCCTAGGTAAGGGATAATGGTTAACTGTAGCTGCTCAGAGACCCCCGAGGGGGGGGAGGTTCGAGCGGGGTAGCAAGTTGAAAGTTAAATAAATTTTAAAAAATAATTTAAAAAGTGTCCTCCCAGTCTGATTTTCCTCCCTGGAATCCTTTTAGTAGCTGTGGAGGGGGAGGGGGGGAGTTCTGCTGGTTACTTAAAAGGTTGTTTGGGAACACATCAGCCTGGGAAGACGGATGCCAAGATGCACGTGCTCCGAGCTCAATTCCTTTGTCCCTTTAGGCCCCAAGCTGGTAGGAAGCAAAGGGCAGCGTGAGGACATGGTTTGTGCCTGCCTGCAACTCACTGTTGGCAAGGTTCTTTAGCAGTGCACATGTACCCCTCTCTATCCCTGATAGCTTTGTAGGAACTTGATCCTGCACCCAGGGGTCATTTTCTGCAAAAGCGCACAGGAGCGGAGCTCTGGCAGTAAAGAGCCCAGGGGGCGGGCACATGCAACAAGCCCCGCCCCCTGCTCGCAGCAGCCCTCAGTCAGAGCAAGAAGCAGCCAGGGAAGTTGCAGAGCCCCCCCGCCCCCCCGGAACAAAACAGTCCAGTGGCACCTTTAAGACCAAGTTTTATTCAGGTACAAGCTCTCCCTCCTCTGCGAGGACAGATCTGCACGTTCCCCCCCCCCCGATAGTTAGCCATCTCAAACAGACCAGTGGAGCCTGAGCGTAGGGTGTTGCCTTCTGACACACTTCCGGTGATGTCAGGGTGTGTGGCATATGCAAATGAGTTATGCTAATGAGCTCCTGCACCTCTTTTTCTACTAAATGACCCCTGCCTGCACCCAATATTTTCTTGCAAGGGTAGAGAATGTCTGTCTTCAGTAGAGAGCCTCTCCTGCTCTGTATGCATGTTCTGTAGCCACTTTGCAAATAGGGCTGTTCAGTGCCCTGATCAGAGGAGGGTTTCTTCAGGATGGCTTCTTGACAGTGGCATCCATCTTGGAGTCCTCCAGCTGCAAGAATGAAGTAACATCTTATCACAGGTAACTGCCTGGTACGAGAACAAGAGGGTGGAGTCCAGTCACATTCTGTCACTGAACAGATGGCAATATTGCAATGGCTGACTGGAGGAGGAAAAGAAAGAGTCCCATGGAAGAGTGGGTTTCTTCTTCAGCTCTAAACAGTCTGTTGTAGTTAGGTTGGATTGGATGTCTATTTCAAATTGGCATAGATTGCTTGTTCATCTTGGGCAGGAAACTTTATGGTAGCATAAGAAACATCTTCTGTATTTGTACTGGAAATCTAGAAGGTTAAAACACAGAGTTGACCGGAGAGAAGAATCATTGCAGGGGTAGTCATGGTGTAATAGTGAAAAAATAATAAAGTGACCAAGTATAGTGATTTAAAAATTGTACTTGGCAATCAAATGTACTTCTCCCTTTGTCTAATCCAAACTGGGCAATCCAAAACCTGATTCCAAGCCCTTCCTGATCATTTTCTGAATGTCTATTGCCTAATGTGTTGCATAGAGAAAACACTGCAATATTTGTGCTCTAGCAGAATGCTTGGTAGTGTCATGGCAAGCCTAGAAGATGACAGTAGCTGTATGGAGAGTCACCACGCATATAGTCTCCTGATATATAGAGAATTAAGGCAATGTAAAGACCAGAGGTGTCAAATTCATTTGTAACGAGGGCCGGATCTGACATAAATGTCTCATTGTTGGGCCAGGCCACATGTGCCATAAAATGTAATGCCAGGTATGGGAGATATAAACTTTATAAAGGACACAGGGAAACCCAATTAACAATATATATTTTTTACCCAAAATACAAACACGTTTAAAACATTAATGCTTTTACAGGATTTCCTTAAAGTATCTCCCTGATGCCCACCCTCCCACTTGCATCGCCCATTACTCATAATTGCGGGGACAATAAAGGTAATGACCAGTTGCTTGTGGGCTGGATAAGAGCCCTGGACTGGTCAGTTCAAGCCTGCGGGCTGTATGCTTGACACCCCTAGTATAGACCTGCTCTGAGTCTCTCCAAAAGGAAATGTTATTACCATGATGGTTAAATGTACTCAGTTTCAAGCCAGAGCGAGGTGGAGCGCTGCTCTGGCAGCAGTGATGGAAGGCGCCCCCCGCCTGACCCCCCCGCTCCCCTCCTCCCCACCCCGAAACTCCACAGGGATCCCCAAGGGCCAGCTGCTGAGGCAGGGCAGGCGGGGCTGAGCAGTGTGTGCATCCCTGGGCACTGGAGGCAGGTCAGACGAGCTGCGGAGAGCCTCAGCCCAGCGGGACATGCGTGTCGCTACATCTGCTGGTCCCTGCTGCCGCCTGCCCTCTTTCTGTCCCCACCCTTTTTGCCAGCTGGCCGAGAGGCGCCTCCTGTCGCTGTGTGCACCTCTGGCAGGCCTCTGCCGGCGGGACTCACCCGGCCCCCGCCGCTGAGACGCAGGCTGGGCAGGGGCAGGCTTGTTGGCTAGCTGGCTGACTCACCTGGGGACCACTGCCGAAGTGGCTGGGCAAGGGGGCCATGGAGGCAGCCCCGGGGAGGGGGAGGCCATCCAGCCGGCCGCTCGCATGGCCTGGTCTCCTGGGGCTGGGCTGGCTCTCGGCGTGGCGGGCTGCTGGGCTGGGCACCCTCCCTGCTCTCTCTCCTGCTGCTAGGCCCACCCAACTTGCGCCATCGTCATTCTCCCCCCGTGCAAGGCTGTAGAGATGGGTGAGTGGGGCAGTTGTGGGGGAGTCCCTTGGAGCCAGTCCTCAGTTGGTGGAGCCTGAGTGAAGCCAGGGCAGTAGGGGACAGTAGTGAAGGCAGGAGAAGGGGGAGCAGCACTGCCCCAGTGGGAAGGCAGAAGCATCGGCATGACCCCCCCCTTTCAGGACAAGGGCTGTGCAGCTGCAGAAGGGGCCTCCTGTCCCAAAGAAGGTCTGAGCAGCTGGAGAAACCCTGAGGGGGGCCAGATAAACCAAAGGTCCTGCCAGACCTCTGGAGCAAAGGAATCTGGGGACACATCCATGCCTTCTTTATTTAGGAACCTTCTATATATGCTGCCTCTCCAGTCTCCTGCTCCAGGTGGCCACAAGTGCAAACAGTAAAATAACCCATTCCCAACTTGCATATCTTGTCACTGTGGTGGATGGGCAAGGCTTTCCCCTCTCTGTCCTTTGCTGTGTTGATGCTTTAGAAATCAATTGCATTCTTTTTATTGTTTTAAGCAAAAGGTAGCAAGCAAGGGGGGGAAATGTGTTGTTGTCAGATGACGGGAATTTGGGGGGGGGGGGAACATTCAGAGCCCCAGGTGTGCACGCACTCTTCCTCAGATGCATTGGGATGGAGGTTAACAGTTCATATATAGAGACAGATGCCTCTCTGTATATGAACCATTGGCTTCCATTTCATTTTGTCGGGGGGGGGGAGGTTGGACATGAGGGCTCATGCTTTGAATGGAATTTTGTTGGTCTTAAAGGTGCCCCTGGACTCTAACTTAGTCCCAAATGCAGTTGGTGAATGTTAGTGTTTACCGGCAAATGTCCAGCAAGCAGAAACATAGCTAGTGGGAGGTTTGGTGAATGCCCAGGCTTGTCATATATGCCAGTGAACACTCGCAATATCTATGTTCACTAGCATTACATCTCAGTGTTTGTAAATGTCTAAACTTGCAGAACTCATGCGGGCCCAGTGGCTTGCTACTGCTCAACAGCCGCTGCCCCATGAAGTGTTGTGTAGTGGTTAGTGTTCCAGACAAGGATTTGGGAGACCCAGGTTTGAATCTGAGTTGGGAAATACCTGGAGATTTTTGAGGTGGAGCCTGAGCGATGGGTGTTGCATATGCAAATGAGTTATGCTAATCAGTTATGCTAATGAGCTCCTGCACCTCTTTTTCTACGAAATGACTCCTGAGTCCTTATCACTTAAGATGGCAAGCATGGATGCCTCCGAAGAAGGAGGTATGATAGGCGTGGGTTGTGGTGGTGGTAAGAAATTATATCGGTTCCCATGACAAACATTTTTTTAAAAGCTGTGTTTTTAATTACTCTTTCAATAATATATAAAAGGCCACCGATGACTTTTGAGGGTGTTTGCCATCCCCCTGATGGGGCGGGGGTTCCCGCGCTTTTGGGCCCCCCAATCTGCCATTGGCCAGCTGGCTGGGGGGGGAAGCCCCACCCCGAAGAGCTCCTTTGTGCCCGTCATGATGACGTCACCCAGAGGTTGAGCAGGGGATACTCTAGCATTTGGATAAAACCTTTATGGTGACATAGAGATTTTGGCCAAATGCTAGAGCGTCCCCTGCATGATGTGCCTGGCATGATGACGTCACTTCCGGGTGATGTCATCATGGTGCACGTGCTTCGTGTGCACACCAGAAGGCCCAGGAACCAGGGCTGGAGCCCCCACACCAGCAGCCAGATAAGACCTGGCAACCCTAAAGTCAATAGTAGCACTATGTCCTGACCAGAGGGCCACAGGAATGGGAAACTGAATGACAGAAGTGTAAAAGCATTGAGATTCATTTGGCGGCACTTTCACAGAAACTGTGAAACATCCCTGCTTCTTCATGAAAGCAGTGGAAACCTTTCTCATTACGTATTCCCTCCAGGCAATGTCAAATATCATGTAGATCAACATGAACTCAGATTAATTCTGCACTTGGATTCCATATACAGGCATATCTTTTGAGGAGCCCATTAAGAAGGACCAAGCTAGAATTGACAGAGGATACATTTTACCTCGAGCTACTTCTAAGATGCTTCACACTGAATAATCTGATACATAAAACAATAAGATCTGATTTTCAAAACTAACTCCTTTGTGATGTACTTAATAAACATACAGTCTGTATTCATTGTCTGCAGTATTCATGAAGACTCCAAGATTAGATAAGATAGAAAAGAACAAGAAAATTCTACTAATAGAGAGAACCTGAGGTTGAGTGGGAGGAGCTGGAGTTCTTTTCACAGATGTGTATTCTACATGGAGTGTGCTGTTTAGATCTTGATCAGAGCCAGGAGACGGTGTCTTGTAGTTTGGTCTAACATTTGCTGCTATGGTTGCATTTGAAACACTGCCTTCTGCAAAAATTGGAACCTGGAATAAAACCAAAAAACAATCTGATACCTATTGCTGTCTTTGAGTGGACCTCACTCAGGCCCGTAGCTACAGTGGGGCTTTTCGAGGCTCCTCTTCCTTCCTTAAAGGCACAGCTCTACAAGATTTCCCCCTTTAAAAACTTTTCAAAAAAACTTTTGCTGGATGGGTAAGGGAGCTGGGCTGCAATCCAGCCCGGCTCCCTTACCCATCCAGCAAAAGTTTTTTTGAAAAGTCTTTTAAGGGGGAAATCTTGTAGAACTGTGCCTTTAAGGAAGGAAGAGGAGCCCCGGAAAAGAAGCGGAGCCCCGAAAAATCCAAGGTGGGCTGCCAAGTGCAACCTGGGTGGGAGAGCAGAGGAGTGTGCAGGGCTGCAGGTGTGTGCCTTTCCCGTGGAGTTCTGCCTGTGGGGAGGCCTGGCCTGGGAGGAAGCCATGCAGCGCAAAACCTGATCCACCACCTGTTCCCGCCTCCCGCTGCATGCAAGCCTGGCAAGGGGTGCATAGGGTCACATCCCAGAAGCAGCGTAGTGCAGGTCTCCCCCTGCTCTTTAGGGGAAAAGTGGCCACTCAGGGTCAATCCCCCCCCCCCAAGAGCGAAACATGGGATTACTTTCTCTCTCCTGGCCCATGATCCGAAGTAGTTGGAGTTGCCTTTTGTGCTCTGGATGCATGGAGTGGTGCAGGGACAGTGCCTATTGTCCTTCGGTGGTCATTGGTGGGGCCCTCCTGCAAAATGACTAGGCTGCGGAGCACCTGTCCCAATCCAGATTAAGGCATGCACAACCCTCATGTGCCGTGGAGCTGGTAGCAGAGCCTGGCTGGAGAGGACCCCCTGGACACAGAGTGGGGGACTTTGCATCCCTGGCCCCAACAGAAAACCCAGTGGCAAGGTAGGGCGGGGCCACTGCAACCTTAAACTGGGGTGGCTGCTTGCAGATGGCTCTGGGGAGGAGTAGAAGCCAGTTCCACCTTGAGGATCACTTTCCAAGCTGTTTGCATGCCCAGTGAGAAGATGGGGGGGGGGAGCACTCCAAATAAATATTTATTTGTTTTATCTGTGACAAGCCCAATGGTAGAGTGGGGGATTCAAGCTTTTGTCATTTCCTTAGCTTTTTTTTAAAAATAAAATAAAATATCCACTTTGAAACCCTTTTAATTAAAAGTAAACCAGCACTGATTTCTAGGTTGAAGAAGCTTTGGAATCCCTTGGGTTTAACTGTTAGAGCTGGACCGGTAAGTTCAGCCCCACCAGAAAAAAAATTGCCCCACAAGCCACAGAATCCTGGCTACGAGACTGACCCCACTATTCGCTTCATATCAGGTTATGCATCCCATCACACAACAGAATTTTCTTGCATTACGTATCTGAGCTCTCTACGGGGCCCAAGGGTTTGTACACATCAAAAAGCAAGGAGCTCTTATCCTGGCAAGAGAAACTTCAACATAAATTACCACAAGATGATAGCTGAACACAGAATAAGAACAACTGCTATACAGCCATGTAATATATGCGCCACAAGCTAAACTGAGCTATTGCAGTTTGTGAACTCAGCAGCTGTTTTCCACAGACATTATATGGTGGATAAGCGCCAAGGAGTAAAAGGTATATAAGGGGAAATAAGGATATAGGGGTAATTAAGGATATGAGGAGCAAATATGTAAATGAAAAATGAATCAATGCTTAGACTCCCTCCCCAAAAAGAAGCACAATCATGGCATTTACCTTAGCATGTTGCTGTATCGCATCATTCTTAGAGAGTGTACCCACTTACTTGGCCACATCCCTTTTTCCTGCTTTTTATCAAATGTACCTTTGCACCCAAGGTTTTATTTTAAAATCAGTTTTACCATAAACAAGGCTGCCCCCCACCCAGTACCTTTATAAAAGTGGATTGGGACACCTAGACCCAGAATGATAAACATCCTCTCCCTCTGTGTCTTAACTGGTGCCTTCAGGAATCCTCCCCCCCCCCCCCCCCCCCCCCCGTCCCTCTTTCTTTCCTAAACCTGGCCTGTCACTCATACCCACATTACTTTTGGGGATGAATCACGGAATACATTTTTATTCATCAAGGCTGCCATAACTTTCCTTCAGTATCCACTTGCATGGGCAAACATTACATTGTTACTGCTACAGTTATTACTAACTCCATGAATATAACAGCTGCGCGGAGCGGGGGTGTGTGTGTGTACATTACGATCACGAAAGTTGCTGTTAAATGTATTCATGAAAATTCATTTCACAGATTAGTCTGATCAATGGGATTATGTACTTGGAGTAGGCTGGAATTGCTTGCATTAATGGGAAGTGGTTACTGTGACCTGGCGCAAGTATCTTTCTTAAAAGTGGCCCTTCTCAACGACTCTCCAGGGGTTTTTTAGTAACCCCTAGGACCCTGCCAAAGGCACTGAAATAGCCCTTTGCTTCTGCAAACCTCCTGACGTTGGAGGCATATGTGTTAGCGGATGGAAGTTAGAGAAAACAGGAACAGTCATTTGGTTTCTTCTTACCGTAGACTGAAGGTTATGTCCACGTGCTTTGGGAGCTGAAAAGATAGCAGACACTTTGTATGACATCGATGCAATACTGAAGTCTGTACTTTAAACAATACACAGGGGGGACAGCAAAACAACATTTTGGAAAGGAGAGAGAGAGCAACTTTTGAACCTCTATCAATTAGTTCTCAAATTATCTAAAAAACCTTTCTGAGGAGGTCTGGATGGTGGTTATGGAAAGTAGGCACTTCCCTATCTAGTTCCTGCAGCTTTCCTGCCTAGTTCCTGCAGTTGTCTGGGCTGGGCTAGATCTGTGGGTGTTCTGAAGCATTATGGAAGGATGGAACTGTGTTTGTGAAGTTGTTTGCTTTATATGTGCTTCCCTACAGGTCTCTCTGTAGAGTCCAATAGCACCTTAGAGACCAACACCATTTTCAGTGTATGAGCTTTTGAGAGTCAAAGCTCTCTTTGTCAGATAAGAGCAACTTAGCTGAAAACCTCAATGGTCTGGAGGATGCTACTGGACAGAAAGATGGTATGAACAAGGCTATTGGGCTGTTCTACTGAAAACCAAGCACGGCTACCCTCTAAAACTATTCTTCAAAATTAGGATCATCTTTCAGCAAATTGCCTTGCTACTATCTGAACTACTTCTCAGTTGCCATTCAACTTCCTCACTGTTTCATGATACCAAATTACACAATGGTCCCTACTGGATGAGATAAGTAGAAGTGCAGATTACCAAACTGCTGCGTCTGTAGAAATGTGTCACCCATTACTGTTTTTGCATCTATAGGTTCACACAAGTACAGTCACGTAATACACATATTGCCTTGGACTCAGTACTAAGGCTTGTACCATCCAACAATATGAGACTGTTTTCAGTTTCTTACAGAGACAAACTATGAGTTCAACCAGGTTTGAGAAGCAGACTAGTATTTCGGAGGTGAAAAAATAATTGGATGATCCCTGAGATTACCCAAAAGTGTGTGAGCAATTGTTAAATCATGTATACTGTGCTTGTAATTTACAGAATACCATACAATTTAATCCTTGTTCTGTCTATCATGGTAACAGCTGTATGAATATAACTTTTTCAAATGTAGGAACCAACAGTACTTTACCATTTTTTAATTTCACATCCCCATTTCTATGTGTTTTTCTTCTCCCCATCTCTTTCTCTCCCCTATTTTCAGTATCTCTCTCTTAAAAGTCAACACACACTTTAGAAATGCAAGTAGTGGCAGTGGACCTCCCTTAGATTTGTATGCAGTCCAGATGTGGGGTCCATTGGCTGAATGAGATAGGATCCTGAATCTATGCGCAGCTGCAGAAAGAGAGTCCACGAGAGTGATTTTAAATAGACAATAAGGAACACCCTCACATTATCTTTTAAGAATGGACATGTGCTACCATGCTGGCATTTTTCACCCCTCCCACAACAAGCTGAGGGTCCTTCATAAATTGCTAGGGTAGCAATGTGGAGATCTCACTTTATTTCACACTCTCCCCTTCCAGGACCCCTAAACTATCAGGGGTTTGTGTGTGTGTCTGAGTGAAGTGCCATCAAGTTGCTTCCAATTTATGGTGACCCTATGAATTAATGACCTTCAAAACATCCTACCATTAAGTCTTGCTCTGGTTTTCAAACCGAGGGCCCTTGTGGCTTCCTTTAGAGAGTCAATCCATCTCATGTTGGGTCTTCCTCTTTTTCTGCTGCTTTCAACTTTTCCTAGCATTACTGTCATTTTCAGTGGCTCTTGTCTTCTCATAATGTGACCAAAGTACAATAGCCTCAGGTTAGGGCTTGGGCAGGCTAATATTCCCACCATTCCTTTTTGTCTCTTTAACTGTCCATTGTTCTCAACATTGCATTCCTAAGAAGCCTTTTCAGTTGTCATCAGGCCATCTCTTTGAAGGATTTCCCCCTTTTTGGTTAATTTACAAAGCCCTTTTTCATATCTAGGGAGTCCCCCAAGTACACAGGGGACCCTAACAGTTTTCACAGCGTTCATCATCTGCCCAACAGACCAACCAGTTTGCTGTTAGATATAGCGCTTATCTCTTAGCATTTATATATCATTTTACCGGAAGCACTTCATAGGCATTACAACAGTGGTCTTTTCAGGAGCCCCGTGTGGAGGCTGGGAGAGTAGCTTCCTCAAGACCACCTATGGAGTTCCTGGCTGAAGTTAAACTTGACCTACCTGACTACTGATTTCACAGCCTTAGCTACACCAGTACTCAAGTGGCTTGGTTTTTATGCTCTTGTGGTTAAACTAGCCACAAGAACCAACAGGTTTATACGCTTTTTCAAAGTAAATTGATCAATTAAATTCTAGTTCAATAGCTAATGCAACTCTAGGATGAAAAGTGTGTGTGTGGGGGGGATGAGTTATTAGAAAAGCGTAGAGTTGCCAAGTCTATCTTTGCTGGGAGTGGGGGGCGGGTCCGGAAGTGACAGGAGGACGCCAGGCACTCTGGAGGTTGGGAACCCTAGGCTGGCTCAGTGTCGCCCAGTGAGCTACGTGGCAGAATTGGGAGTTGGAACTTGACTCTGCCTAGTCCTAGTATGACCCTCTAACCATTACACCACGCTGGCTCACAAGATTAAAATGCAAAATAAACAGCATAGGTATTTATACTCCCATTTTTATTTTATCCCTTTATAGTAGCATCACTCTCTTCTGTAGCAGAGAGAGATATGCCTTTGGCATGCTTACCTTATACTCGGGCCCATTTAATAGTTTATGGCAATTGTTTGAGCCAGTGCATAGAATAACTAAGCTGGCCAGAAATGTAGGAGCTACTGAGGAATAATCATTCCCCTTTGGAAATTATGCCCACATTTAAAAACAGGCCAGTAGCCAGAAATGTGGTCAGTATATGGGTGGATAGGTGAGTGCCTCCCTGTCCTTGATGGCCCAGGCCATCCTGATCTTGCTAGATCTCAGAAGCTAAGCAGGGCTGGCCCTAGTTAGTACTTGGATGGAAGTCCAGGGTTTATGCACAGAGGCAGGCAATGGCAAACCACCTCTGAATGTCTCTTGCCTTGAAAACCCCATGGGGCCACCAGTGTTCCCTCTAAGCTGAGTTAGTGTGAGCTAGCTCACAGTTCTTTAGCTTCTGGCTAACACTTTTTTGTCTTAGCTCAGGAAAGAAGGCTCCAGAGCAAACTAATTTATGCAGCAGCCAAATTGCCCACTCGTGACTTTAATGCCAGTAGCTCACAAAGTTGAATTTTTGCTCACCAAGACTCCACAGCTTAGAGGGAGCATTGGTGGTCACCATAAGTTGGCTGCAACGTTAACAGCACTTTCCACTACCATGTGGGTGGGTGTGGAATAAATGCAGAGCAGTCAGAATCTAAATACATATAGTAATCTGACGGGTTTTAATTACATTAAATCTAATTAATTTAAAATGTATAAAATCTAAGAATAAATGTCTAGTAGTCCTCATGATTGTCCTCATGTCTTTTGTATTCAGTGGCTAGAACTCTACGTCAGAGTACACGTTTATTTGTAAGCAACTGAGCCACGCATTACCTGAATAGTTTCCCTTATATTTCTGGAAACAGAAAGGTGAAAACCTTTGTTTTAAAATGTCCTCGACTAGGGCCAGGGCCTTCTTGGTCCTGGCCCCGAACTGATGGAACTCTCTGCCGAGTGACATTAAGGCCCTGCGGGATCTGATGCAATTCTGCAGGGCCCACAAGGCAGAGATGTCCCGCCAGGCTTTTAGTTGAGGGCAGCAATGGGAGGTAAAGACTGTCACCCTCTCTTTTTCTTCTGTGGCCCCCACAGACCCTTCCCACTCTGCCATGCAGGACAGCGGTGTGGCTGGCAAAGGAGGATTGTTTTATTGCCATCTTGATGGGTTTCAATCTCTTTTTTTATTTTTAGCAATCTGAACTATATATTAATTATATTTTAAATGTCTGTAATGTTGTAAATCACCCAGAGCCTGCTAGCAGGGTGGGTGATTCATAAGTTTAACAAAACAAATCAATCAATCAATAAGATCAAAATTCAAGGAAGGGCTGAGAATATTTGTGGAGGGCAGCCTCTTCCACCTCTCCTGTGGCTAAGATTGCCAACCTCCAGGCAGGGCCAGCCCGTCATAGACAATTTTTAGGCAGCGGCCTAGAACGACCCCTTAAGAGGAGGTGCCCCGCTGGTCTGCCACCCCTCCCCTCCCTCACCACCAGCCTGGACCCAGCCCTGCCTGTGGCCGCTGGCGGGGGCGCTATGCAATCGCAAGCCACCCTCTCGCCCTTACGCCACTGGCCAGCTGGCGGGGGGGCTCCTGGCGCGCCTGCCTTCGCCGCCCCGCTGCCTTCTTCCACTGGCCGGAAGGACTCAGGGCCCCTGCACTCTGCCCACCGCCGCTGCCCCAGGCTCTACCTGCGCCGCCCTCCACCTGCCCGAGCCAGCCCTACCTGGCCACCACCCCACCCCCGGCCCTCCAGGGCCTTGCTGCAGCCAGTCCCGCTGGCCAGACTCCAAGCAGGGCCCTGAGCCAGGCCAGATGGGATTGCCGGACCGACCCCTGGCCTTAAAGCAGGAACAGGAACTCTACTTTGTGAGCTACTGGCATTAAAGTTGTGAGTGAGCAATTTGGCTACTGCATAAGTTAGTTGGCTCTGGAGCCATCCTTCCTGAGCTAAGAGAGAAATGTGTGAGCCGGAGGCTAAAAAACTGTGAGCTAGCTCACACTGATTCAGCTTAGAGGGAACACTGGCCTGGAGGTCTCCTGTAATTACAACAAATGTCCACATGGCAGAGATCAGTTTCTTGGAGAAAATGGATACTCCTGTGGCATTATACCCTGCAGGCTCAGTCCCTCCCTGCCTTCCCCAGGGTCTGTCCTCAAATCCCCAGGAATTTCACAACCCATAGTTGGCAATCCTACCTTTGGCTACAGCCATGTTTCAAAGAGAGGCACCATAGGAGACAGCAAGATGACTTTGGATAGCAGTGGTAAGCAGGGGTCATTTCCTGCAGGAGCACACAGGAGCGGAGCTCCAACAGTAAAGAGCCCAGGGGGCGGGCACATGCAACAAGCCCCACCCCCTGCTCCCAGCAGCCCTCAGTCAGAGCAAGAAGCAGCCAGGTAAGCTGCAGAGCCCCCACCCATCCCCGGCCCAAAACAGTCCAGTGGCACCTTTAAGACCAAGTTTTATTCAGGTACAAGCTCTCCCTCCTCTGTGAAGGCAGATCTGCCCATCCCACCCACACCCAATAGCTAGCAATCCAAAACAGTCCAGTGGACCCTGAGTGGTGGGTGTTGCCTTCTGACACACTTCCGGTGATGTCAGGGGATGTGGCATATGGAAATAAGTTGTGCTAATGAGTTATGCTAATGAGCTCCTGCACCTCTTTTTCTAGGAAATGACCCCTGGTGGTAAGTATTTTTAAAAGCTCAGAATTGGTCATGATTATAGAAAGAATCAGTGGCTGCACTGGGAATAGCATTAGACCCCAATTGCTCTTTCTGGATGTCTACTAACAAGAACACTCTTTAATCCCAATGTAGAAGATATGTCTTCTTGTAACTGTGAGGATATTTATAGAAAAAAATTGCTCCTAACATTGTGCCAAATACCATATCAGTAAGTTGATACATAGGGATATAAATTCCTAATGTCACTCCTGATTCATCATTATGTGTGAGAGGGATGGATTCATTCATTCATTCATGTTATATATAGTCCACGTTTCTCACTGGGACTCAAAGTAGATTACACAGTTTAAGTCAGTAAACATCTAATAAACAAAGCAGTGAGGTTTGGATTTAAGAAATCTGAAAACAAGCAGAGATGTGAAAAATAAAAGGAGCTGAGACAAAGTTAGGTAATTAGTGAATTAATAATTAGGCACCACATGCAATAACGGTGCTTCTGAGAGTGTGCAGAGTGTTCCAAACTGTCATCTCAGCCCTACCTGCATTTGATATCCTCTCAGTTGTCTTTGGTTTACTTTAACAGAAACTCTAGCTGGTCTTAAGAATTTGAGAACATGGAAAAAAGGATTGAGTGCTAAGAGGCAGGGGTTTTGGGACTTTTTAGAAAGAATGAGACCCAATTGCCAAGACAAGGACAGGTACCTCCTGCAACCATCCACTCACCTTTTTGCTTCTGCAGCCTCCACATCAGCAATAGGCCTCCCACTAAAAGAACCACCAGCAGCACCAGAGCGATCAGTAGAAGGAGCCAGAGGCTGAGAGGAAGAGAGCGTGGATGACTCAACTGTGCTCGCTCCTGTTTGCTGGACAAAACATCCTGTGTGCTAGATGACAGAATCATTGTGATTGGCCAGAATTGGGAAGCCCATAATGTCTCTTCATAGAGGAGAAGCCTTTTAACTAATAATGGCTGCTGTGATAAAGGGAATATTTCCCTCTCTCTTTTTATTTCTGCTGATGCATTGCAAGCTACTTCGGTGCTCCTGCAGTCTCCAAAGAGATTGTCCCCGTTTGTCTCCAGATCCTCCTCTCTCTACATTGAGGATCTGGATGGGGTGCAGTAAAAGAAATAAAAATTATTCACTGAACACTGGAATGAAGGATACATGATAGGGAGCAAAATCTTATTGCTTGTCATATGCTCGTAAGAACATAAGAAGAGCCCTGCTCAATCAGACCAGTGGTCCATCTAGTTCAGCATCCTGTTTTATACAGTGGCCAACAAATTGCCTTGAAGGATCAATTGACAGGACATAGAGGCCTCCAAGACCTGATATTCAGAGGTTTGCTGCCTCTGTATGAGTCACCTTTAGTCACCATGGCCAATGCCACTAATGGACCAACCATCTGTCTAATTCTCCTTTAAAGCCATCTGTGTTCATGGCCATCACTACATTCAGTAGCAATGAATTCTACAATGTATGTATTTATTTAAAGCAATCTTAATGCTGCCTTTCCACCCAATCAGGGTTCATAAGTCAGTGAACACAAAAGCTTTACAACATTTAGGTCCCGGTCACACGGGCAGGAAAATGCGGGGGGGAAACATGGCTGTTAGCCCCGGGGCTAAAAACCGCGCGGTTGCTTGAGCAGACCTACCGATGGAGGTCCGGTGGAGGTCCCATGGTAGGGGGGGAGGTGCCGATCACTCAACAGTCCTGCTGCATGGCAAAGAAGCGGGGCATGGGGCAAACGGGGTTGTTTTAAAAAAAAAAAAACACTCAAATGCGCGCATGCTTCCTTGGGTGCGTGTGCGCATCCGTGGAGACTTTGAAAAAACCCACCTTTTTCCGAGGGGACATGGGTGGGCGCTGGAACTACCACCGGAAACGCGATCAGACGCCCGCCCTTGCCCCGCGGTTTCAGGAAACTAGTACCTCCGGGGTACTAGTTTTTTACCGCGCATCTTCCGCGGGAAGCCTCGGGTTCGCCACGGGAGCTCGACGCTTCCCAGATGTGGCGGTGAGATCGCGCCCGGAAAATCCGTCTATCTTCTGTCCCTCTAGCGTGCCTAATGCTCTGTGTGACCGCAGCCTTAATTATTCATTGAGTAAAGTGTTTCTTTTTGTCTGTACTGAATATATTGGTGCCCCCAAGTTCTAGCATTATGGGTGAGGGCAAATGTAGCTTTATCTATGCACTTTCTCTAACCCATGCATAATTTTATAAATCTCTATCATGCCCCCCTCATGTTTTGTTCCCCCTAAACTGAAAAGTCCCAGACTCTTCATACTCTCCTCATAGGAAAGGTGCTCCACCCCCTCAGTCATCATAGTAGCCCTCTTCTGTACTTCTGCTCAAAGTGATCGGAAGTCACTGATGAAATTATGGCTTCGTGTAGTTGGGGGCGTGGCCGAGCTCGTCACGGGGGAAACCATATGGTTTTCCCCCCGACGAGCTCGGCCACGCCCCCAACGTCAGCAACGTCGCACGTCACTTCTGGTGATGTGCTGCTGGCGCGCGCGCATCCAGCAACAACTCCTGGACTGCGACGAGGCTCCCCCGCCACGAGGGGTAAGTCCACTTGGCAACCCTACTTCCGTGCCTTGAAATTCTGTGCATCAATATTATTGTAGATACCTCTTATTTTCCTATGTCTGTTCTTACCTTGGGGTGTTCTCAGTCAGTCTTTTGGTGTGGACTGTGGACAAATATCCAGTAGTTACAACTATTGTTGTGGTAGGAGGCAAGGAATCTGAAACAGAAATCAAAAGATAGAAACCTCTACGGTCTTTAACTTGGATTACTTCTCCATAGGCGTGTATAATCTTAATTATATAACCAGAAACCCACAAGATGCCCTGAGTCCACGGATTTCTCTTGATTAATCCTATTTTTGTCACCACCATAACTATCCTATGGCAGCTTCCAGGGCTTTTTTTTTTGTAGAAAAAGCCCAGCATGAACTCATTAACATATTAGGCCACACCCCTGACAGCACAGCTCATTAGCATATTAGGCCGGGGAGCCCAGACAAGTCGGCCCTTGGAGGGAAGGGAAAGCCGTTTAAACTGCCTTCCCTTGGCTTACCCGGGCACCCCATGGCTGCAGAGAGCCCGGATAGGCCAGGGAAGGCCAGGGGGTCACTCTCCAGGCCTTCCCTCTGTAGCCATGCATGCAGAGGTTTTGGCTGTAGTGGGCGTGGCCAACTCTGAAGCCCGATGGAACTTCGTTCCTGTGCATTCCTGCCCAAAAATAACCCTGGCACCTTCTAAGACCTAGTCCAGAAGCTCTGTTATCTTGCTTACTCATGCAACTAATGGTTCCCATGTGTGGTCTTCTCATGTGGTTGGAGATGTGCTTGAGATTGCAGTTTCTCTTCTGTGAGATGAACCATCTGTTAATGCAGGAGGAACTGCAATCTTGCACATCCACCTCTGTTAAATCTACTTTGAGAACATATACTCAGGGCTTACAGAGCAGACCATTGTTCTGTACCATAAAGGCAACTCTTATTTTCTTTTGAGAGAGAGCAGCTTTGTTAGGGTGGGAAGATGACATGATATACCCCAATCTCATCAGATCTTGGAAGCTAAGCAGGGTCAGTACTTGGAAGGGAGACTACTAAGGAAGACTTTGCTGAGAAAGGCAATGGCAAACCACCCCTGCTTCTCACTTGGCTCGAAGGCCTCTTGCAGGGGTAGGCATAAATTAGTAGAGACTTGACAGCACATGCCCACATAGTTTTGCTGGGAAAATGCTCGCAATGGGTACAAGAAAATACAAATTACTCACATTGGATGAAAAGAATTGTGCAGGCATATGGAAACAGCTGCATGAAAATATTCCACTTTCTTTCTGTCTCATAGCCTGTCAGGTCCTGTGAACAGCGAACTGTTCCTCTTAAGGATGACTCTGCATCTTCTTCTTTTTGCACAGCTAAATGCAGCTGTGCTAGCTGTCTGTTTCTGGTTCTTTTTCCTTCCTTTCCTAACATTTCAGCCACATTTCTTTCACTCAACTGAAAACATTAGTCATTCCAGGTGTGTGTGTGTGGGGGGTCCCCCTCGATTTGCCAGAGCAAACTGTCTTGCTGTAGGATATTGTTTCATTGTGTACCATTCTGCAGAGCAGAGGTGAGGCGAAGTGCTACTTTGTTTTTATTTGTGAAAGTATCCCCTCAGGTTCTATGTGAAAATGCAGGCAAAATGAGTTACAGATTTGAAAAATAGATACTTAAAATATTAAATGTACATTTAAAAGCCTATTGTTAAAAGCTAAATCAACAGATTACGGCAAGTATATAGTACATCCCCCTCCCCGAGGAGGAGGCGGCGAGGCCGGTCCTCCCCCCACCCGCCCGGCTCCGAGGCGGAGGCGGAGAGGCCGGTCCTCCCCCTGCCCGCCCAGCTCCGAGGCGGCGGCGGAGAGGCCGGTCCTTCCCCCCCCCTTTGCCAGGCTTGGCGGCGGCGAGGCCGGTCTTCCCCCCACCCGCCGGGTCCGAGGAGGAGGCGTGGCGGCGGCGAGGTCAGCTACAGAGCATTGCGTGCGCATGCGCACGGAACGCTCTTGCACTTTTGGGGGGATTTAAACATCCCCCACAAAATTTTTTCTACTTTTAGCATTTTTGTGCACACGTGGGGACTGGCCCACTGGTGCACAACCCTCTCCCTCCCCTCCAAGTGCCCTCGGAGCGCAGATTTAGCGATCCGCACTCCAGGGGCAACTTGGCTATTAGATATATAGATGTTACGCAACTGTACATTTTGATCGTTATTACCTGTAGATTTCCTGCCACCTCTGTGTACTCTGTGGCATACGATATTGATACAGATTGAGGGAAACTGTATTTGGCCAATCTTGGACTGTCTTCCTTTTCTTCCTTCTGGATCGGCACTACTTGGTCATTCCAACCCTCCTGTGGAACTCAGCTGAGGAAAGCTAATCTCTTTGGGATGTTTTCATGTAGAAAGTCGCATCTCAACCTTTGCTGAGAGATATGAGGGGAGCTTGAATTGGACGATCCTTTTCACAACCCAGCAGCCCTACGATTCTCTGAAAACTGGCTAAAGCTTCAGTTGCTGCTGAGGACGACTTCAATGATCTTCCCCCAGTGATTTGAAGGGGATAACATTTAGGACTATGTCTGAATGAGCACACGTTTGTTAAAATTGTTACTATAATACCATTGCTTGGGTTCAGTGGGACTAAGTTGCAAGTAAATGTGCATAAAATTACAGCCAAAACCTCTTTTCCTATTACTGTGATTGCTGAGGCGCTACCTTCATATTTGTGCCACAGTTTGCTCTCTTCACAGTGCGTGCACATTTCTTGCTTCCCGGGTAAGCCGCTTGCCCTTCGTATTTTGAGGGCAATATCCACATTAGCATACAGCCCTTTACACAATGCTAACCTTGGAAGCAATGCAAATTCTGAAGAAGTGTATGGAAGGGAACATGAAAATTGATGGGACTGTAAAATAGGCCAGGGCATCACAAAGAGGTAGAGCAAAAAGAGAGTTCTGCTTGTAACTGTGAAGGATATAATCAAACTTTTAAAAGAAAAAAAAAGACGTACGGTGCTCACCTAATTAAAAAAAATTATATTTAATAATGTGGGCGTTAAGTGATTCATTATTTTTAGAGCTGCCAACCTCAAGGTGGGGCCTGGAGTTCTCCCAGAATTACAGCTGATCTCCAGACGGCCGAGACCACAGTTCCCCTAATGGCAGCTGTGGAGGCCTCCCGTTCCCACTGAGCTTCCTCCCCTCTCCAAATGCTGACATTCTGAGTCTCCCCCCACCCCAAATCCTAAGGAATTTCCCAGGCCTAGGGCTGCCAAGTGGGGGTGGGGGTGGGGAACCCCCCGCTTTGGAGGCCCGATTTCCGCCCTGGCGGAATCGGGCCCCGGGGGGAACTCCGCCCCCCAAAGCTGCGTCACCAGAGGTGATGCAGCCACGTCACTCACGTTGGGGGCGTGGCCCAGATCGTCAGGGGGAAACCATTTCCCCCCCGACGATCTGGGCCATGCCCCCAACGTGAGCGATGTCGCACGTCACTTCCGTTGACATTGTGGCGGCGTGCGCACGCGCGTATCCAAAGCCAGCTCCCGGAGCCGTCGGAGCCTCCCCCGCCGGTGAGTTTGCGGGACTTGGCAACTCTACCCAGGCCACAGAAGGGAACCCTAATTAGTTTGCATTTGAACAAAACAGTATTTGTTTTCAGAAGCTTTCTTTGCACACTTCCCTTGCTACCACAGGAATCCAGTGTTGTGACGTTCAGCCCTCATTCTGCAAGCAAGATTTCAAACCAACTTCTTTGTTCATATTTGCAGGTTCCTTTCATTTGCCCATCTTCTACTGCCAGCACTGGTGCCCCTTCTGATCAGGCCAGCCCCAGTTTGCCCTCGTGTTCTTCTGAGTGCCTGAATTGGTGGGCATGCCTCTACTAAGAGGACACTTGCTGATGATTGTTTTTGTATATGCTATGGTAGGAAGGGGGAAATGGTGTCTTTCCTTGCTGGCAAACTCCCTGAGACTGAGGGTTACCTGGAAAAGCACCTTGGTAACCAGCGGCCACCACTCAGGATCTCCTGAGAGCATCTAGACTGACCCATTGAGAAGGCAGTCTTTCAGCACAGTACAAGAGCAATGACAAAATAACTGATAACAGTTTAGCACATAGGGAAGAGATTTAGAGAAATATTCCAGATTGTACTAAGTGAAGCTAAAAAAATGTTATAAAAAGTTTTGTGTAAAACAGATTTTAAAAAGGCAAAAGGTAGTTGGATTAAAGAAAGAGGTGGAAAAGGCAAATCAAAATACAGGGAAAAGCACTTAACACCAACAGCACAGAGATAATCAAATGAAGACCAATGTGGCTGAACTAAGCTAAACACACATTACCTATGCTGTAGCAGGTTCCTCAGAGCAAGTGCAGTGTTCCGTGTGATAACAAGAAGCTGCAGGAGTCCTTAACCTCTACCCAGCTTCTCATTCCATGGACCCAGTTTCCACTGAAGACTGAAGAGAAGGGAAAATCCCAACTGTCCATACATTTATGCTAAATGTAGTTAGACCTAAACCAGCCTCTTTTCTAAGAATGACAAGAGGATTTCTCCAATCCCATGCAAATCACCATCTCTGATCTCAGAAGCTACTTTTACTAATCAGAGCCATATCCCATACAGTCCTACCTCCATCAAGCACCTGGTAATGGCTCCAAACTTCCATGACAAACAGAAGGTCTGATCCCAGATCCTCCTTAGTCAAAAAGGGATTAAGTCTGCCAGGATGATCTAATAAGGAACGGAAATGAATAGCCTAGGGGTCCAAGATCGCAGATGCTCTAAGTGGCTTTCTTGAGTCTTAGCCAATTTTAGACTTTCTGTCACAGTAAATATTTATATTTTTAGAATCTGCCACCTAGTAAAGCAAGGGCATCTTTCATAGTCATTCAACAGAGTTTTAACTGGTTAATCAGTTAGGACAGCAGCCCCAAGAACACTTTCCTGGGAGTAAGCCCTGCTGAATAAAATGGGACCTTCTGCCTGTGTAGACCTGCTTAGGATTTCTCCCTTAATGTTGCACTCCTATGAAAAATATAATAAAACCTATTAAAGGTGGTAGAAAAACACCAAGGCAAGGACCAAAGTTGCGAAACGATCAGCTGGTGGATTTGATCAAGCAATACATTTGCCCATCACTCCCTCATGATGGTTGGGAGGAAGGGTGTGTCCGCCTACCCCTCTCATCCAGAACATCTGCGATTTAGCATTTCATTGGCTGTATGTGGTCCATTTCCCCAAAGAATGCCCCGATCTGAACCACATGGATGTGTGTATTCCAATTTAAATGTTAAATCCCTATGTGGGCTGGTACACTGGGAAGTCTGACATGCTCTTGATTCTCACCATGTGTGGCAAATATCTCATCTAGTCCAGCCACTGCCAAGAAGTTAAGAGTTATAAATCTTTTGTTAATCTAAGAGTTCTACATCTTTTGTTAACCTTATATATCTTTCATAAAGTTTTAACCCTTAAAACCCCTGGGATTATAGTGGGTGTGTTCCAGCAAAGGTTAGAATACATAAACAAAACAAAACAAAATCTAGGATGGAATGGGCCATTAGACACTCTGATGTTTTCCACATGGGGATGGGCTTGTGCAGTTTTTCTGCTGCTCCTGCAGTTGCCAGTACAGCACAGCAGCAACAGGGCTTCCATATGGCAGGTTCCCCTACCTTTTCTCTTCCTTGCCCCCCCCCCAGGTCATTCCTCCTCCCATGCCACCAGGGGGCTTTTTGCTTTTTATTTAAAAGTTGACGTACAATTATAATGTTAACTATCAGATCTGCTAAATTTCCAGCATTCGTTTTTTGTAAAAATAAAACTCTATCCCTCCCTCTTTTTTTTGTTCCTGGAAGTGATTTACACTTGCAAAAATAAAATCCTATGAAATCCTATGAGGTGGCAGTGAAGGCTGCTGAAAAAGAATTTTGTGCAGCCTCCATCACATCTGCCAGCTCTTGCCCAGCACAATTATTTAAGGTAATTAGATCCTTCTCTCACTAACAGAACTCAAAATATTAAAAATGTGGCCATCAGCTATGAGGCTTTTGCAAGCTTTTTTTGGCAGCTAAAGTCTTGTCGCTCTGCCATGACCTCCCAGCCACTACTGACACAGTAAGTGTACTGGAGGCCCCTTGGCCATCTTTGGACTCGGTATTTGACAGTTTTAACCAGCTTTCCTGAGCTGATGTTGACAGGATTCTGGGTGCTGTTAAGCCAACCACATCCCTCCTAAACCTGTGTCCCTCGTGGATAGTGAAAACCAGTAATAAAGGGATACGGGCCTCTGGTAGACATTAACAATCTGTCCCTGGGTTCAAGGGTCTACCCAGAGGAACTAAAGGAGGCTGTGGTTGTGTCGCTCTTGAAAAAAAACCAACTTTGGATCCTATGGATCCTTCCAATTATTGCCCAGTCTTGAATCTTTTGTTTCTGGGCAAAGTAATTGAAAGAGTGGCTTCCAATTACCAGTAATCGAAAGAGTGGATCCTTCCAATAACCACCCAGTCTTGAATCTTTCGTTTCTGGGCTAAGTAATCGAAAGACTGGCAGCAGAACAGCTCCAGAAATTCCTGCATGACACATTGATGTTGGATCCATTTCTGCCCCAGCCACGGGATGGAGACAGTTTTGGTTATCCTCACAATCTCTGCAGGCAGCTGGATTGAGGTGGGTTTGCTCTGCTGCTACAGCTTGATCTTACAGCAGCGTTTGACATGGTCGATCACAACCTCTTGACCCACTGCCTTGCCAATGTAGGAGTCCATGGGGTAGCCTTACAGTGGCTTACCTCATTTCTCCATGGACAGGGACAGAGAGTGGCACTGGGTGAGGAGGTGTCAGCTAGGCACCTACTGGTATGTGGGGTTTCTCAGGGGCAATCCTCTCCCCAATGGAGAGACTGCTCCTGTGAATTTGGCTGAGGGTTTGGAGGCCATGGTGAGATGGTCAAAGCAGAGTTGGTTGAGACTGAATCCTGATAAGATGGGGGGTCGGGGGGATAAGGGTCTGGGAGGCTGACTCCCGGCCCTTGATGGTGTGCCCTTATCACCAGTACTGACTGTCAATAACCTGGGTGTGATTCTGGATGCCACCTTGTCAATGAAGGCCTAGCTCACAAATGTTGCCAGACTGGGGTTTTTCCAGCTGTGCCAAGTAATCCATGCAACGGTCACCTCCAGGCTAGACTACTGCAACTTGCTCTACTTAGGGCTGCCCTTGAGACTGACCTGGAAACTCCAGCTGATCCAGAATGTGGCTGTGCATGTCCTTACTGGGTTTGGGAAGTTTCCAAAACTTCAAAACTGCAATTGTTTCTTAAATGTTAGCACAGAAATAATTTGTTTCTTAGGGTTGCAATCCTATACACACTATCCTGGGAATAAGCCCCATGGAACCCACAGGATTTACTTCTGCATAAATTTCTGTAGCTTATCTTTTTCAGTCCACTTCACCTGTGTTTGATTTTGAGTTTCCTGTAGACTTGGAAAAGGGACTCACCTGGGACAATGGTCACTTGGGTGCCAGGATCAGATCCAAATGTCTCTATGCCACACCAGTACACCCCAGCATCTTCCTCTCTGAGGTCCTCCAGTGTCACCGTGAAGCAAGAGCAAGTATGATTGTCCTTGACAGATGTTCTGCCAGCCTTCACCTCTGCTTCTAATCCTCTGGTCTTTACAACCTTAGTGCAAGAATTCCAAATGTCTCCTTTGCACCAATATTTGTAATATGTTTGATAGGATTTATCATAGTGACACATTACAGGTAAAGACCTGCCAACAAATCCATGCACTGTGCCGGGGCCTCTCACAGCATACGTAAAACCTGCTAAACAGAAGAAGAAAACAGTGGCTCAAGCCTCTGTGTGTCCCGTAGCTGAAAATGATCCAGCTACAGGGTCCAATGCTGGAACAAAACTGTAATCTTTATAACAAGTATGCACAGCTGGAGGCTTCTATATATCTATTTGTGCAACAAAATACTTGTATGTAAAACTGTTGAGAAAATATTCAGTTCCCAGAATAGGAAAAATGAGAAAAGTATGATGAAGTAAACTTTGAGGCGTGTAACTAATAAGCCATTCATAACAATTGTTTCAGGTGGGCTGCAGTAGAAAAGCAGTAGAAAATGTTTGTCTGCAGTAAAAAAGCAAGATTGGAGTGCAGTAGCACCTTAAACAACCAACACGACTTCTGGGGTATAAGCTTTCGAGAATCAAAGCTCTTTTCATTAGAAATCTGATGGAGGGAACTTTGACTAACAAAGGTTTATACCCTGAAAGTCTTGTAAGATATTACTGCACTTGAATCTTGCCATTCATAACGAGTGATCTCAGATACGCTGAAGTAGATTTTCCCATTTTCTAATACCTGAAAGATAAGTTAGGTACTGTGGTAAAGAAACAGCATTGATTATGGTGTCAACTCACTAAAACACACACACACACACACACAAGCCTTAAACCCCAAAGGTAGGATTTTGAGTCACATTTCCTCCATTTTTGAATTTCTACTAAGCTTTGTTTCCACAAAATAAAACTTTTCATTTCAAAAGGGCTAGAGATCACTCTGCAAGACTCAGCATGCTTATTCAAAAATAAAACCCATTGACCTCAATAGTGCTGACTTCCTACTAAGTGGATTTGGGATTGTAACCTTGCAGGCTACACCAAAGGCTGGATGTTCTGGTTCCAGAAGATAATAAATGTAAAATGGATATGGTGATACCTTTTTAGACCAATTTCTTTGACTGTTAGCACACAGGTTTCCCAGTTCTACATGGAGCTACTCACTGGGTATTATGAAAGCCATAACTGAAGGCAATGATTCCATTCAATTATGCCTGAAAGAGAGTATATGTTTTAAGAGGCTGGAGCTGCTTTCCATATGTTTACAGCAGGAGAAGGGTTTGACTGCAGCAGCAAAGGGAGGAGTGTTTCTGATTTAAAAAAAAACAAAACTTTCCTGTCCCCAAGCTGACTTTCTTTCTGTAGCTGAACAGATATGAGGGCAGCTTAGCTTGAAGAATACCTAGCTGTGGAAAATCAGATTAACTACAAATTTGTAAGAAAAGGAGCATTGTGTCATTACTGCACAAGGCAAAGGCAGTAAAGGCAGATCATTTTCCAAATGCTTAGTTTTTTAAAAAAAAAATTCCTTTGAATGATGTGTGCTTCTCTTCTCCAACACATTCAAGAACTTTAAAAAGTTTCCTTAAGAGTGGAATCAACCAGATCATACATTTCTTCTGATTTTGGCTTATTACATGAGACACAAGGAAATGGCTACAAGAAAGAAGGGGGGGAAATCCTCCCTCAAAGTGAAACTCCCCCTTTCTCCATCACTCATCCACAGTTGCCCATTTATTAAGATACAGCAGTGAAAGGATCACAGCACATGGCAAGGGAGGGGGAAGCATACACCCACTATGAAATTATTGGCATGGGTCTAATTGAAATTACTATCTTGTAATATATTCCAGAACTACCTTATGTATTCATTCTAACTTATGCAGCCCTTGTTTTCTGATGAATCTTCACACTATCACAACATTGGCAAAACGTGGAAGAAAAAGTGATCAAATCAAGCTAAAAATTGTGAATATTTACATCTTACTGCAGATATGTAAATAATAACCAATGTTCCCTCTACGCTGTGGACTCTTGTGAGCAAAAATTCTACTTTGTGAGCTCCTGGCATTAAAGTTGTGAGCGAGCAATTTGGCTACTGCATAAATTAGTTTGCTCTGGAGCCTTCCTTCCTGAGCCGAGACAAGAATGTGTGAGCCGGAAGCTAAAAAACTGTGAGCTAGCTCACACTAACTCAGCTTAGAGGGAACAGTGATAATAACCCTTACTGCAACATACAGTTGACAAAGATTTTCAATTCCTAACATGGGTCATCCTCTGTCTATCGATCTGGTGTCCCTAAACCTCAGGAATTCTCTTTTTTCTGGCACAATCCCCAATTTTCTCTCCACCTGTCCATCTTCCCTTTGGTGCAACAGACAAATAAAAACCTCTTACCTGGCAGGAGGGAAATGCAGATGCTCCCTGCTAAGTGAAGCAGCAGCATGCTGTCCAGCCCCAGCCACTCTTCTCTGTACCTGCTGTCTTAAATTTTAACAGACACATCAACTTCTCTTTTAGAAGGCTACAATTTGCAAAATGTGTGGTTTGCGCGAACTTCAGCCACTTCTGCTTTCTTCCCCCAATTATGGTCATGGTCTCTGTTCCTCATGATGTCAGGGAAGCCCCAGAGAAGAGAAGAACTGTTGAAATCATGAAGTCTCAGCCCCAGGCCCGGAGCCAGGATTTCTGAATTCAGGGGGCCTTTAAATAAGTCAGGGGGCACTGATAAAATAAGAATAAAATAAACTGACACTCGCAGGCAGGAGCAGGGTTATTTCCCCTATTGTGGAGGGTGGGTGGAAGTGGAAGTCAAGTCTTACCCTAACCCTCCTCCTCTCCTTTCTCCCGCAACTGCATTGGCTGTGTGGAGTGCAGGGAACTACAGCAAAATGGCGGGCTCCTGTTCGGTTCCTTATTTCTTTCTTCCTGGCTGACTTCGTGCCTCCATGGTGACTTTTCCTTGGTCACACCCCCACCCACTGCCCTGCAGGGGGGCTTTCTGCTGCAACACTTCTCAGACTTGGAAGTGGCAGCCCGCCTGGGGAGACAAGCCAAAGGAGGAGAGGTGGGCGAGCAGACGAGATGGAGATGGCTGCTCTGCTGCTGCTGGTGGCCTGTGTGCGCCCTGCGTTAGTGCAACCGGGCTGGACTGAGAAGGCAGGAGCTGAAGGAAAAACCCGGGAGGGGAAGCTGAGGGAGTGCTGTGTTTCTCTCTCCCTTGGCGGCCAGCTTCCTCCGCGATGAGGGCACAGGCACATGCAAGCGAGCGAGGTCTGCAATCTTGCACTGGAAGGAGGAGAAATCTCTGTAGTTTCAGGTTCAGCCACAGGACCCACAGCCCCCTGGCCACACCTCACCTGCCAGCCCGCTCGCCTGGGTGCCTTGCACTGCTTCATGCCGTGGCTTAGGGATGTGCACTCGGTTCGTCTGAGCAGAATGCACCCCTGAAAATGGCCCATCAGGCCCCTTTCAGGCTCCTGTGGGCCGAATTCAGATTCTCTGAATGGGAGATGGGCAGAGGTCATTTCGGGGGAGATCGCGGGGGATCGCAGTTCCCCCGGGTGAGGTGTGGGGGGCGGGGCACACAACAAAGCCACACCCCCTGCTTCTGGCCGCCCCGCTTCCAGCCCTCATTCAGCCAGGAGGAGGCAGGAGAAGAGGGAGGGTAAGTTGCTTCCTCCCCGCCTCTCCCCACCCCTGCCTGCCTGGGGCCAGGGAGGGCCTTGGTGGGGCTTCCTCGCACTCCCGCCAGCCTTGCAGGTCCACCGCCGGGCCTTATGATGTCAGAGGGTGTGGCATATGCTAATGAGTTATGCTAATGAGTTCCCCTAGCTCTTTTTCTATGAAACGACCCCTGGAGATGGGAGTACCAGACCACCTCACATGACTCTTGAGAAACCTGTATAAGGGTCAAGAAGTGACAGTTAGAACTGGATATGGAACAACTGATTGGTTTAGCATAGGAAAAGGAGTACGACAAGGATGTATATTGTCACCTTGCTTATTTAATATATATGCAGAGTACATCATGCGAAATGCTGGCCTGGATGAATCACAAGCGGGAATTAAGATAGCTGGGGAAAAGATCAACAACCTCAGATATGCAGACAATACCACTCTAATGGCAGAAAGTGAAGAGGACCTAAAGAGCCTCTTGCTCAGGGTAAAAGAGGAGAGCACAAAAGTGGGCTTGAAGCTTAACATCAAAAAAACTAAGATCATGGCATCTGGCCCCATGACTCCTTGGCAAATAGAAGGGGAAGTCATGGAAGTAGTGACAGTGTTGCGCAGAGCGTGAATAGCGGTCCACACCCAGTCTAAGCCAAGGCAACACCTTAGCAGACTTTCCAGCCTCCCAGCTCTTACCAGTTCTTT